GAGCGCGAATTCAGGTACCTAAAGCTTGTTGATTGCTAAATTCCATAGTTCACAACGGTGCAAGGTGGAAATTCTTGAGTTTTACATGCTGGACAAACAATTTTACAGGATACAGAATCGAATCGGAGCGCGTATCCAGTTTCTCAGCAATCTACCGGCTAATATGAGTAAACACTTGGCACTGAAGGCCGAAATCGAGCTACGCGCCTTGCGTTTACTTCAACTGCAAACACAGGTAATAGACTTTGCCTGATTAGCGAACTAAGTAGGTTTGGGGCGGATCAAGAAGACCGAGGGGCCTTCTGGGGTCCCTGAGAACACCGCCCAGGATCCGCCTATGTAAGTAGGAAACTAAGGAGAACGAAAGGCTATCGAAAATAATGCATGTGAAGAAGCCGGCAGTGGCAGTTTACTATAAAATACATCGATCTGAAATGATGTTTTAATTGGGGCTACTTGCTTTCATGCTGTGGGAGAAAAGTGACGGAAAAGAGAGCAGAACAATATCTGATGCGATGATTGTGCGCATTTCAGGTACGAACAGAAGTCTTAAGTCATCTGAAGAAAGATACAACGCTTGAAACGGCGCTAAACCCCTACGCTTATCGCCGCACAAAACGACAGACGCTGAGGGAAGCACGAGTTACGGAAAAACTTGAAAAACAACAAAAATTGGAGCAGGAGCGCCGTCGACGCCAGAAACACAACGAACTGTTACAGGCTATTTTGCAGCATGGCAAGGAGTTCAAGGATTTCCACCGAAACACTTTGGTGGGGTTTTCACTTCAGTCAAATTAAAATTTTTCAGAATTTTGCTTTTTTTTTTGTTGAAATTGGAGAAGCTGCCAGTTGCATAGTTGACGTAGCAAGTCATAAATTATCCAAGCAAGTGCTGGGGCAAAGGTGGGGTAAGCTAACCAAAGTATTCAAGTAAGTGATGGCCAAATTTATCATTTGTTTTTTGCCCCTTACACGCTAGCAAGGCCTCTGAAAACCTTTCAAAGGCAGTTCAGCTTTCCAGCACGTCAGTTATCGCCTTAGTGTTGAGAGAATTATTGGGGAATGGCCCTTCTACTGGCTGGATGGATATAGCTGTTCGAGCCTGAGATTAAGCGCCTAATTATCATCTAACCAGATACGGGGACCTGCCAAATATTACCTTACTTTATGAAGAAATTATTGAGTTAAATCTGTTTTAGGTGAAGCTAAGCAAAGTAAAGAAGGCAGTGCTAACATACCATGCAAACAGCGAAAGAGAGCGAAAAAA